CGATCACCAAGAGACATCGACGATTATATAGGGTAATTTTTTTAAGAGTAGCGATATTTTGAACTTAAGTTCAAATATATAAATAATGATATTATACCATTATTGTAATTTCTGAAAATACGAGTAAACTAGGCTTCTACATTTATTTGAAATTATCGCAATTTGAAGGTGTATTATGGGCAACAACGTTATTGCTTACCGATCAACTCGAATTACGAATGAATGGGTAAGCATTAAAATCAGTAATATTATTATGCATTAAAACGCATTTTGAATTTAAAAGATAAAAAGGACAGAACGTTTGAGATTTTTTTAATTAATTTTTCTTCGCTATTTGCCTATATTACTTATTCTGAACCTTCTGGGGGTTATTTTGCAAATTATTGCAAAATAACCCCGTATACGAGTACCTATATAAAAATAATAAAAAGATACATATTTTTATAAACTTACCTAAATCTGTTAAAAATGACCAATAAAAAACAGTAATAAATAAGGCTATCGTGGTAGCTGTATTGGACATTACCCAGTACATCCTGACATACCATGGTAGTCCAAAAATGGCGTCTGAAAAAAAAATGTATATAGCGTAAACATGTATTGAAGCATTATGTTTGAAAAATATTTTCATGTTTTTTAACCCTTTCACGGCCTAAATGGTATGTATACGTAGTGTGAGGTTTTAGGGGGCAGTAGTTGCTGTAACGCTGGGTACGGGTCACAATCACTTTCAGTACTCAACTAACTATACAGCTGTTCATGTTCATTTTATAAATATCTAAGTCTTTCCATTTTATAAATATTTAAATATCTAATAAATATCTGTCTAATAGGTGTCCAGATTGATCACAAGTTTGATATTCGCTATATATAAAGCTACTAAAAATATGTAAATTCGGGTTTGGCCGGTAACAAAGTCCTACTGACTGCAAAGTTTTGTGTTACCTGTGTTTTGGTCCGTAGCCTGCAGTCAAAAGCATTTGAAAACTGCTTTCGTTGGTCAAAAGTAGTTCTAACCAGGAATTAGTTCATAATAACATATTTTTGACTTTTAGCCTTATTTTTTTATTTCTACCGACTTGACATTTTTGATTTTGTCTTACTCAGTTTCTACTACATCAGAATAATTATGACTCCGAGACTTTGTTGTGGAATTAGGATAGTTAGATAGAACAATACGGATACTTACGTTTTATTATAGTACATCACTTTTATATAATGTTTTACATTATATTTTAATTAAATATGTATTCTTAGTCGTAACATGGTGACGACGTTGGTTCATCATCATTTGTTTACGTAGTCTACTTAACAATAATTGATACCAATAATTCTTTCTGCATCTCTTATCAAGGCGCCACTTCGTCTAGTAGGTGGTCGCTGTACACTTTGTTTACCGTATATGGATATGCTTACCGGTGTATCTGAGTACAAAACCTTTCCAGTGGGAAGGAGGTCTAGAGGGTAACGTTATATCGCAAAACTTTTTACCGATGCACTAAAATTGGAAGAATTTTCGAGCTACTGGATTGAAAAGGACACGGAATCAAAATCAATGGCGAGTATAATATTCACCTTCGATTTACCGGCGATATTGTAACTATGGTAGAATCACTTTAGGACCTCAGCAGAATACCCAATCACCTTAATATCCCAACGGGTCTTAAAATGAACGTAGATAAGACAACGATCACGTGTAACGTTCATGTCATACTTATGTCGGTAGTTGTAGGTAGTACCTACAATGATCAAAGTTTTACGTAGTATAGCCATGCTGCAGCTACAGTTTTAGTACGAAAGGGTTGGCTCTAACGGAGAATGACCTCGCTCTTACAGAATACCAGTGTAAAATAGTAGCTTAAAGCTGCTGTATTTCATAATTTTACCCCTTTGTCGTATCCCCTCAGTTTCAAGGCACTCCCCTTGTTGCCTCAGCCAGTATCGGAATCCTCGGCGTCGACATATCGAGTGACGTGTAGTTTCGTGGTCACTTGGAAGGGAAGGCCAAATTGGCCTCTAAAAAGCTTGGCGTGCTCAGCAGAGCGGGACAGTATTTCATGCCGGCACATCGCCTGCAACTTTACAAGGCGCAGGTTCGGCCGCACATGGAATACTGTTCCCATCTCTGGGCTGGGGCTCCCCAGTACCAGCTCCTTCCACTTGACCGCATCCAGCGCAGAGCGGCTCGAATCGTCGACGACCGAGTGCTTTCCGATCGGCCCGATTCACCGGCGCTGCGAATAGATGTTGCATCTCTTTGCGTATTTTATCGCATCTATCACGGGGAGTGCTCTGAGGAATTGTTCGGATTAATCCCGGCCGCCAAATTTCGTGAACGCACTATACGGCAAACGTCCTGATACCATCCACACCATCTGGATGCTTGGCGGTCCACCACTATACGTTTCACGAGGAGTTTTCTTCCACGTACAACCTCTCTGTGGAATAGTTTACCACCGGCGATTTTTTCGGACCGATACGACCTGGGGACCTTCAAGAA